GCATAGCATCGTGACCTAAAACGTATAGCTGACGAGAATAAAGACCTTCGTCAATTTCATTGCCTGAATTGTTTTGCGACATGTCTGGTATTGCTTGAATGGCTGATTCTCCTGACGACGCAAGTCTCCGCTTCTTTGCAGGGGGATCAACGGAATTGTGCAACTTATCAGCACTAGACATCGGATAATCCGGCCGTATCAGCAGCCAATTTTTCTTAGTAGCTGAATAATTTTTACCACAAAAGAAATAACAAATAATACAAAAATTTTTTTCACAATAGACAGCTGAATACCAGAAAACAAAGCGGAAGTTATTTAGTTTCACAGAGTATAACTAAGTTCTTAAGGCCCTGAAAACTTATTAATATTTTCGCGCTTTTGAATATTTGAATGACTATTAAAGCCTATGATTGAAATCGTCAATATCGTTATTTTCATTTTGAAATGATTGTAATTTAATTTTAAATTTTATTTTACGTTATTGCCGCCTAGTTTTAAATTTAACCTCATTTTTACTATTAAAAGGTTTTACTTAATTGGCATTGTGTTTTTGTGATTATAATTTAAAACAAAGAATTAGATTTCTCTATAAAGAAAGAAGAATTTAAGGCCTAGAAAAAAAGTGAGAAAAAAAATTCGTATCTCGCTTACAATCATCTAAAAAGAAAGGAAAGTAAAATATTTTCAAATTTTTTAAATTATATTTATTAATGTTTAAGTTTTTGAAATACTTTTTTTTTGTTTTACAAGAGAGACAAAATTATTATAAAGATTGAGTAATTCGAAATTTAACAAATAATTGATGTAAATAAATTAATTTTTATTTTCGAATTTTTGAATCTTAAAACTAACATTATATTAGTGTTATTACATTTTGACAACATTAAAAGTTCTGAACTTAATCGTTTTAGAAAAGTCAAATTTTCTTTTAAACGTAAAAATTATTCGTGATTTAATCAGTATCACTTCTTAAGGAAACTTCACTTCCAAAAATATGTTCATTTTTATTTTTATCAGCTACAGGTAGTGTAGTGGCTGTTGAAATTCTTCCAGAAGTATCACTACTTCTGGAAAGTTGCTGTCATTGAATATCAACATCATCATCATCTTTGAAAAATTTCTCTTTTGTATCAGGTTGTTTTTTAGGATCTGAATTTTTTTGTAAAATTTTTTTATTTTTACAGTTATCATTTCCATTAGTTTTGGTGTCAACTTTATTATCTATCATCAAAATTTGACTCCTAAAATTATGAAAAACTCTTTTTTAAAAATATTTTATTCAATTTACTAAAACATTTTAAAAACAAATATTATTGAAAAGAAATATTGACAATGTAATGAAAAGTGCTGTAACATTGAATTTTACATTTATTTATAACTTTACTCGTTAAAGTCCTTTTGTGTTATATTCTTCTGATCGGATGATGATGTGCTACCTTCTGAACCTGTAGAGCTTATATTTCTGCTTTCTATTAAATTTTGAATTTTTTGTGGTAATTTCAATTCTCCTATTATGTTTGATCTAAATTTAACAAGTAATTAGTGAATTTTTCAATATGAGGATATCAAAAGTATTTTTATATAATAAATTTTTAAAATACCCAATTTGTCTTCTGTTTATTTCTTTTTGAATTGAATCAGGAATCTTTGGGTAATCATCATGTTTAGAATAGCTTGAAAAACTACCATTTACTGCATTTGTAGATAAATTCATTGAAGAATCTAAATCTCCATTTAACATTTCAGCAGAAAATGTTGGTCTTGCTGGTATTATGGGAGACCGACAGCAAACTCTAAAAGTTCATTATGTAATAAAGGACAATTTGAAAAAGAAAGGATAATTAAAATATTTCATTATCAAATTTAATGTTGGTAGCACTTACGAATTGACATCTTCCAACTTTTTCAATAATCTCTCATTCTCTCTGCACACCAATTCTTGATCTCGAATGAGTATATCTCTTGTTGAAAATAAATCAGAATTTTCCTTTCTCAAGGCATCATTTTCTTGCATGTAGTGTTTAACAAGTTCAATCAATTCTTGTCCTTCTAAATCTGCCAATTTTTTCAATTCTACCTCTGTCATAACTGGGACGATGCTTCCACCTGAAATGTACACAGTATAGTTTCATTTTTTTTTCCCCTGTATCATCGCCATATTAAATATTAATTGTAGTTGTGTAGTTTTATGTGTAGTTTTTCTTTTACTTGATAGTGAAAGCTTGGAACCGATTCCATCACTTGTTTCTAACAGTGACCGAGATTCAAGAGGCATTCGACCCAAGTTTAATAAACTTCGTAAATGTTCATTTTCATTTTGCAAAGCGTTAACTTCTCGTTTAAGACTGAGAATCAAAGCATCTCTGGGATCCTGAAGAAAGTGTAAATTTTTTAAAAATGAATTTCAATTTGTGTAAACTTTTCTGTCATGAAAAAATAAATTGATTTACCATAACAACAACTGGTTTTGTTGTTATATTTTTTGCTCTCGCTGCATATCTTAATGTATTTAACGTTTCGCTTATGTTTGATTTTGCCGGTGAAATGCAAGCTATCTAAAATTAAATTAAAATTTTTTAAATTAAACTCTAGCCCCCAAAAAATTACTTCATCGTTGTTTTTTACACCTACACCTTTTGTTTAAAACTATTACTACATATCGTTATAATTGTAGCCAAAAACCATTTTGTAAATATTTATTTAAAAAATTATCTTACCATTAAAGTTACTCCATTACCAGCAAGGGCTATCAGCCAAAAGTTTTGTTAATTTGCTATCCCTGTAGGGTATATGTCCAGATTTTTTTTTCGAATCGCTTAATGAAGCAATACAATATCCTAATATTAAAAAAAAAAAAAAAAAAAAAAAAACATCAAATATTATTTCACATAAATTAAATTTTCAACTTTTTTTTTCTTTTTGAAAACCCTGACCCCAGTCAGCCATATTAAAATAATAACTTAATTGAATAATAACTTAAAATTATATTTTATATACATAATAAATACATATAATTTTCCAATAAATGTAAAACAAAACGATAAATAAATAATTTCCCCCGGAACTCCCCTATTAAATTATATTCAAATGAAAAAAAAAAAAAAAAAAAAATCGAATTCAAAGTCAAATAATAAAAATCAAATGGAAAAAAAAAAAAAAAAAGCTGTCAGTTATTTCGTCACGCTAAGGTTTCTAATATTTTAAAAATGTCGAATTAAATATTTAAATGGTATAAATAAGTTAAAACGCGATTGTTTCAAAGAATATTTCTTAAAACGTAGTTTTTTTTACCCTTTTTAATATTTCATAAATTAAATTTATTTAACCTCATTAATAGGTCAAAATTAATTATGAAAAAAAAAAAATATCATTATAGTTTTCTTCTTACCTAAAACCATGAGACTTTTATTAATATTATTAGCTTCTTCTAGAGTTTTTCCTTCGCTGTGTGTTTTTTTTGTCATTTCACTTCCGGCTAAATCCACGAAATTTATTTTACCTTGTTTTGATATGAATACTTGAGATTCTGGAATCGATTGTTCTGACGTTATGTGAACGGTTAAAATAGTGTGACTTCTGCTGGAATAATCATTCATGTTATGTCTTCCCACCGATCGGTTTCTCATCCCTGGAAAAATTAAATACCCATTAAAATTTTTTTTTGTTTGCGAATGGGGGGGAGGGGAAAAGATTTGAGTATTGTACCTTCTTCTAAAACTGCTAATAAATCATCCAATTCTTCGCAATCTACGGTAAAAAGATTTTCAACAAAAAATCCTTGTGATTTTTTTGACCATCTAACCGATAGAGGTTTTCTAGAGGAGCCATTCAATAGATCAATCACCTAATGAATGAAAATTAATTTGTTTTTAAATTATAAAGAAAAAAAAAAAATCGAGAAAAGCGGTTATTGTTGTTACCTTTTCATTATATATTTCTAAAAATGATGCTTTGAGTACAAAATGAAAATCTCTTCTTTCTTGAAGTAATTTAAATAAATACATAAAACTTCTAAAAACTAATCCATGATGTTCTGAATAAACGTCTACTGGTCCTTCAAACTATAAATAAATTTATTAAATTTTTTTTTTTGTCGGACATAAAACCAGGTTGATGTTTTTCATTTAAATAAAAAGAAAAATGAAGATAAATAATTTGTAAATTCTTATAATTAGTATTTTATTAGAATTAGAAAACTAACCAAACCGGGGGGACCGGTCAAAGTATGTGTTTTTCCACTTCCGGTTTGTCCATAACAAAAAGCTGTACAATTATATCCTTCTACAGCCATTTCAATTAATCTTTTTATTCCAGAATGTTGTAAAATATCTTCTTGAGTTGCCAACGGTTCGAAAACAACATTATATGTGAATATTTTAGATTTTTGTCCGATCGATTGAGTATCAAGCTTTAATAAAATACAAAAGTAAACTTTTTTCCTTTATAAAAGAAAATTTAACTTTAAAAAAAAGAAAACTTACAATTATTTGTCCACTTCCGGGAAATGAAACAACAGAATCATCTCCATTTTTTAATTCTTTTTTATTCAATGGTCTAACTCTAAAATAAAACAACATTAAATACATAACGCACAATTTTAATCATTATTATTTATTTATTTTCCTACATGAAAAATAATAAGAATTGGGGGTGGGGGAGGGAAGGAGGGGATGAAAAAAAAAAAAAAACTTAATCGAGTTTCGAATTATTTAAAATGAGTATATAATCATAGTTGATGACGTCACGAGGAAATAGTCGTAAATTTTAGCAGAAATAAACTTAAATGTAAACATTGATTTATTTTAACCAAATTAAATTATAATAATCATGTTTAAATAGTATCGAGTCAGTGCTAAATTTTTATTTAACAAAAAACAAAAAAAAAAAAAAACAAAAAAAAAAAAGAAAACCGAAATATTAATATGGGGGGTAAAAGCGAAACGGACACTTCGGAAAGCGTTTACGAAAGTGATGTAGAAGAAGTACCATATAGGGAAGAAGAAAGAGATGTTAGAGCTTGGGTAACATATTATGTCGACATGTGGAAAAATTATTGGAAAAAAAGATTTTTTAGACAATTAATAAGAAGTGGTATAGTTTTTATAATTGGTTTAAAACTTTTAAGAGAAATCAAAGGATTAGCTTTTCTACCTCCGTATTCTATGGCACCTGAAGAATCGCCATATTGATTTTTTTATTTTTTTTATATATAATTTAACACATATATATATATATTTTTTTTATTATATCTTCTTATTTTTAGATCATCATTTACTATTTTGCATTTTTGGCTCACCCATTTTAAATTTGTCTATATGAATTTTTGTTAACGTTTAAATTAATAAAATGTGACGCGTATTAATAAATTTTATTTTATTATTATTAATAAATAAATAGCATGCATACCTTACGCAAACCTTAATGTTATCTTCAAGACCTGATATTCCAGAATTTTTAATAGCTTTACGATAAATAACATCAGAACCTTCTGACCTAAAAAATATAATTTTGAATTATTTATATCAATTTATAAGCGTTATTATTATCATTATTTCTTTTAATTAACCACGTGTGTGAGAGAGAGAGAGAGAAAATAAATAATTAAATAAATATTATCGTACTCGCTTCCTCTTGAACTTGGTGGTTTATCATCAAAACGAAATCTTTCTTCTGCACTTTGTGATTTTCTCATCATTCTTAATGGACTAATATTTCTGCTGTTATACGGCGATGATTTTTTTATATTATTAATATTATTATTATTATTTTTAGGTGAATGATAACCGTTAACATGATTTTTTGATCCTCCTTTCCTACCTAAACTACTTTCTTTCTTATGCGACATTTTTCTTTCTTATTTCTTTCACTTATTTTATTTTTTGCATTTAAATTTTTATTTTACCAACAAAAATTATGTATTCATGTATTATTTAATGTTTAAAGTTTCTTATTAAAATGTTAAAAATTTCTAGAAAGGTAGAGAAAAAAAAAAAAAATTTTTTTCTTTTTTAATTTTTTTCTTATCACATTATATCTAACAATAAAATTTCTTTTATCAAACTTTCAAATAAAACTTTTTCTTTTCTTTTCTTTAAATCGCACACAATTTTTATTTAAATAAATTCAAAACAAAATAAATATAATTAAATACATGATTGTTTTATTGAAAAATTTAACTGACACTGAAATAAAATTTTATATGGGGGTAATACCAATACTCTTTTGAAGGACATTTTGAGGGTCGTAACTTTGGTAACCAAATTTTGTGCTAATGCAATCGATTATTATTATTATTTTTTTTTTTTCATACTACTACCTTGTTGTGAATCAATTAAATATATATTTCAATTCATTTATTATAAAAAAAATAAATAAACGGTGTAAATAAAGAAAAAATTTTATTAATTTAATAAAGAAAAGAGGGGGCGTGTGTGTGTGTGTGTGTGATAATATTTCCTTCCTTTTCATTAACCTGATTTTTATTTTTATTTTTTTTTACGCCGATTTACGATTTTAATCTTTAACAAGGTTCACATAAAAAAAAAAAAAAATACATATGAAATATTGAGCAATAAATTATTTCAACGGAAAAAAAAATTAATTCTTTTGCATATGTTTATTCCATCATTAGAAACACGCAACAACATTTTTAATAAATTTTTTTATTTACGTTTAAGGAATCGTAACGGTCGTTAACGGAATCTGTAACGTTTTTTTACGTCACTTTTTTTATTAAATTTATGTATGGGCTGGAGCTCTCGATGGTTATTCGAATTAAATTTTTAAAAAATTGATTTTTTTTTTTTTTTTTTAAAGAAATATTTTAAGGTGATCGAAGGAGAAATTTTACGTAGTTGTCATGACGATTCAAAAAAAAAAAAAAAATCATTTTTAATAATTAGCACTTTTTTATTGTGAATGAATCATAAAAAATTTTTACGTCAAAGTCATCATTAATTAAATTTTATGTATTTACAAATGTTGTAGGATTGTGTAACATGATGAAAAATCAATAAAATTTATTTATTTATTTTTTTTTTGTGAGCCCTTTTCACAAATAATAAAATATTATTAATTAAAACAAATTTATGTATTGTAATTACTAGTTACATGTACAGGTGTCCAAAAAAAGTTTACAATTTATAATTTTTAGTAATAATTATGTGAGGAATCATGTAATAATTATCGAAACATTTTTAAAATGAGTTATTAATTAAAATGTTATAATTACAGTATCAAAATTTAACTTTATATTTCTTCATTAATAATTAATTAATAAATAAATGAAATATTCGAGTTATTAAAAATATTATAAATAAAGTTTACAAAACTGTTTGTCGATATAAAAAATGTTATTTCAAAAATTTTTTAAATTAAGTAATTTGAATTCGAATGAAACAAATGATTTTATTATTAATTTAAATATAAATAATAAATTATAGTTTTTGATAAAAAGATTACAAAAAAAAATATTGTCGAGGATAAAAGAATTTTTGATTTTAGGCCAAGGGCAATTATCACATTTTCGCTCATTAAACCTTAATGTACCATTGACCTTTCTTTTTTTTTTTTTTTTTACTAATAACACCTTTTTTTTTCTCTTTCTTCAAGCAGGTGTTAAATCTAGTAATTATTTAATTAAGTTTTTTAAGCAGTGAAATAATACTTACATACAAACACTAATGTCATCTTAATAATGTTTTATAAAATTTTTAATTTTGTTCGAGGAAAATAATAATACACACAGTATTATGTAAAACATATTATTATTAACTTATATATACATATAAATTATATAAACAAATAATGTAATTCACAAATCAAACTCATTATTTATTAGAAGTAGATGATTTCGATTTTGATCCTATACTTTTGGATAACAAAGATTTTGCATTTCCTAAAGCAATCGACCTTAATTGTTCTTCAGCAGTTGCATTAACAGTTTTTGTTATCATTTGTTTTAGTTTTTGAACTTGAACGTTTTTATTTTTTTTTGGAGGTATTGGTGCATCTAAAAATATACAAAATGATTTAATAATTATTAAGGTTATTTTGAGAATAAGGTTATGTTGATGATTAATTTGTAAATATGACCTGTAAATCAAAAGCATGTATGTTAAATTAAAAAAATTTTTTTTATGAAAACGTGCAATGTGCAGTAATTAATAATAATATTTAAAATCCTTACTTCCACGTTTTGAAATAGCCGATCCTTTTTTCTTTTTAACTTTAATTGAATCTGGTAGTTTTATTTTAGATTTAAATTTTCCCTGAGGCATTTTAAATAAATCCTTAAAACATTTAACAAATTAACTTTTATTTAATAACAATAATAACAAGTAAAAAATAGTGTCAATTATTATTAATCAAATTATTTGACGTGGCAATAAAATTACAGTTTTATTTTTATTTAAAATGGCGGGCTTTTTAAACTTTTGCGCCAAATTTTTTCTTTTTGCGTCATAGTTGATTACACTTTAAAGTGTTCAGTAATATTTTAATGTGATGTATGTGATTGTCATTTATAAAATTAATAAAGTGTTAAAATAAGGTAAATTATGGCAAGAAAGGTAAATAAAATTATTTAAAATTTCATTTTTAATATTTTATTTAATCAATTTATCAAATACACAATAAAATAATACCTTACATTAATTATTATTATAATTAAAATACAATTACAAAACAACAACATACACAAAACTATTAAATATTAATGTTTGACTTATTTTTATAATCACCATTTAATTAATTAGGACACATTATTAATAATAATAAAAATAATAATAAGAGAGCTATAAAAACAAAAGCCATAAGCAAAACTATATAACTACATTCAATCTAAAATACAAAAAGAAGCTTTTTTTTTTTCCAATTTTTTTTTTCATTTTTTTTTTTTTTTTTAATAAGACACTTTATTATAATTTCTTCTTCCTTTTTTTTTTTATTGAAGCATATTTAAACGATACACATTAATCATAATT